CCGGTCTGTGTTGGTACCCCTCACAGTCACAAGGAACAAGGGAAGTGCTCCCGTCGACCTCCCACTGTGAAGAGGGCACCAAGCCTGGCTTAAGGTGTACTGACTCCAGCAACGTTATTTATGTAGCTGGAGTTGTGTACCTTAAGCCGAACTTCTGGGTCTAGTGTAGACCTGGCCTGAGTTCCTAAAATTAGTGATCACTCTAGAACATTTTTCCACTTAAAATGGGGAAACCAAGCACTCAGAATTATTTTTTAAATATGGGGATGTTACTTACTCATTTTATAAGGGGGGGCTGAGCTCAATTAACATTTGTAAATTTTGCAATTCTTGGGATTGAAGGTAAGGTTTTACCATTGATGCAACATTGACTGCAAATTTAAACAGACAGTCTAGGCATATAAAAAGTTATGACTTACAGTAATACAAATTCTCCCAAGCTTTACATATTTTGTATAGTTGTATATGAAGTTATAAAGTTAACATGATTAAAACACATGTGCATTGTGGGTGAGTTCACAGTACAATTCTGGAAGCCAGACTCCAGGAGACAGAGCTTGATCATATTTTTTTTTTCTTGTGCATCACCAACAAAACGGTCAGCCAACTTTCAACTTAGGGACCAAAGTGTGCCCTGGGTTCACCTGTGCTTTTACTAACAAGTCCCACAAGTGTGACTGCGGGTGGAATTTGGTTTTCAGAATCTTATTTCTAATGGCAATTTACAGTGTAGTGCCAGAACCCAAGACCAGTGTACAGAGCTGGCAGATGTGATCTGCACATCAGAGAGACAATAAACATAGACTTTTGCAATGGCTTTTGGTCACTTTGCAGAGTAGGACTACAATTTAATGTTTTACTAAGGTAGATTTTTGCATTTAATTTTTTAAGGAGAACCCTGTGATATGTAAAACATGTAAAATTTAGAAGTTTTGTAATAATAAACTACTTTGTACATAGCTAAACAAGCTAAGACAATAAACAGTTGTACAAGTGCCCGAGACAAACACAAAAGTATGAGTATATGTAACTGCCGACATGCAGAACCCCACCTGGGAACCTTTGGAGCTTAGTGTATGAGCCTCTATAGCTTGAGCTAAAAGCCAGTTGGCTCTAAGCTAAGGCTGTAGAGTGCTCTCATTCTTATCGCTCACTCTACGTGGTCTAAGTGCCGCTACGTGGGACGGTGAACCACTCCCAGTAGGCATGTGGCTTACGTATATATAGCTTAAAACTTAGTGTTACATGCATAGTCTTTTGATTGCTAATAATTACATAACTTGAAAATATACCAAATAAGCAATTTAAACTTTATGCATACTACATTTTTCTTTGTCATTTTTTGGGAAATATTGACATCACATAAGTAAAACTTATGAAATATATATTATATTACTTTGCAGATGAATTCTTAAGTTTGAAACAGCATCTCTTCATTGTGATGGAGGACATCTGTAAAGTAGTGGATTCTATTCCAGTACATGAACTTAAGACATTGTCTTGCGGGAATGATCTTCTTCAAAAGAGAAATCTCAGGTGTGTTTTAATTAGGAGATTGTAGTACTTGTGCATTTTTGTGTGCACCAGAATCTTACCTGGCAAAGTGGTAGCCAATATTTTTGCACAAGTTAATATTCCTGTATAAAGGAAAAGATCTTTTTAATTGTGTAGAAATGTTAACTTTTTTAGATAGAATAATTAGAGATCTAAGAACAGAAACTGCCAGACTGAATTAAACTTGAGGTCCATCTAGTTCATTAGCTTTTCTCTGATGCTGCCTAGTACCAGACACTTCAGCAAAAGAATCCTGCAGTAGGCAGAAATGGGATTTCTTGCCCTCTGCATTAGGTCTAATAATGCTGGGTTACTAATAGTTAGAGATTGACTTAAGTCCTGAAATATGAAGTTTAATATTATGACCTCTGGATATACTAGTTTTCCTATAATTGTCTAATCCCTTTTTGATCTTGCTGTGGTAATGAGTTCTATAGTTTAAATATGCATTGTGTGAAAAGTATTCATTTTATTAAAGTTTCCAATTTTTTTCTTGTTACGAGATACCATACAAGCTACCAGTCTACTTTCTCTAAATCATTCATCATTTTATATACTTTTATCATGACCCTTTTTATTTTCCTAAGGTAAACAATCCTAAACTTTTAAGTCTTTAAGACATAGTCAGGGAAAATAATGTAGCTCAAGCATATTATTTTCATTTTCTTCAAAGTGAGGCTTATAGTGCTAAGTTATTAAAACAATTTTTCCCTCCAACTGTGTTTGAGGATTATCAATTTATAGCATTACTTCAGTGGAATGCCAATAGCAAATCCAAAGATGTTAATTATTTTACTAGGACATTTAATTATTTTTAATAGAAAGTTTTTTCTTTGAATTTATCATTTATTTAGTAAATAATAATTATAACAAAGATAACTTTAAAAATTAAAAAATCAAGTATCAACACTTCTTGTATACTTTTTCCTTTTCCTTATAATATCTGATAACTACGCAGATCTCAATACTTTAATCTCATAATCTCCAGGGCACCGGTATAGCAAATGTGCATGTTTAACTTTAAGCATATTTTTAGTCCCTTGACTTCAAGTGGGTTACACAGTAAAATTAAACGTATTTGTGAATTGGGGCATAATTTAGTCAGCTAACTCAATTTGATAAAGATTCTCTTGGTTCAATGTCAGAATGTTAAACAATATTCACAAAACTGTCATAGTCCTATTTTGAGAATCAAAAAAAGCTTTTTACATAATTCACAGTAAGAAAAAATACAGATGGAATGCTTTTGGTCTTTAACTTGATACTGGCAGGAAACAAAACAGAAGCAGAAAAAATTGTGTCTTAGGCAGAAATAATTTTTTTTCATTTGTAAAGAGTGATTTCTTAAAAATATCCAGGGATTATATAATTTGTTGTACTTCCACTTTTTCTCCGGGTATTGTTATATTCTCATCGGGTACGGATCTAATGTTTGTCTCTGCTCAGCCATTGTTGCAAATTTCAAACTCAGTTATGTGGTTCAGAAAGATACTTAACAGATTTTTTTCCCCCCCCTCTGCCAAGTAATATAGAATTGCAAATTAACTTGGAAAGTGAGAGAGGCCATGCAATTAAGAACTTGTTTTCATTTCATCCTCTCTCCGACCAGTAATTCTGACTGTCTAGGAATCTGGAGAGGGAAGGGGTAGTTCTAGAGCAGGGATGGGGAACCTTATTTGGGTCAGGTGCTGCTGACTCGCACAAAAATCAGTCAGGTCCAAGTTAATAGATTTTGTGTGCTCCTGCTCCACAGGGGGAACAGCGGGGGTGCTGGAGTGCCAGCGCAGGCTCCCCAGTGCTGAGGGGGAGTCCCGAGCCTCAGGGGCCAGACTCAGGCAAGCCTTAGTTTCCTCACCCCTGTTCTAGAAGCTAGCCATTGCACACTTTTCGTTTTATATGGTTGGTTTTGCAAACCGTAAACACTCAGTAGAGCAAAATATGGACATGGAAGCCTCCTGTCGCGCCCTTTAACAGAACAAAGCTGCTCATAAGCGTCACTTGTCAGGACCAATGTTTTGATTTTGTGCTTGGCATTTGGAGGACAGGAAATTTCCTAGTTTGATGTTTACAGTGTAAAGATGTATGTCCTATGCACTCTCACCCTCTTTTTAATGGGGTTGTGGGGGAGAGTACCGAGTGGCTTGCCCAGTTCCGTGGGGGGGGAGGGGAGTGCTAAACAAGTGGCAGTTGACGAAACTTACAGTTCCCTGCAGCAGTCAGGCAGTCTTGTCTGTGGGACTCAGCTCCCTGCCTGTCTCACTCCCCATCTGTTCAGGGGAGGTGAACAGGGCAGCACTGAAGGGCCCTGGGCTTGGGGGAGAATGAAAAGATGTACCATGTGGTTACTGGCCCTGCCGACTCCAGCTCTTAAGGGTGGCCCCGTTTGCTTTCCTTGTGCAGGATCTGTCAGGCAGGACAAATGAGCGGGGCTCAATGCCCTGGAGCTGCACTGAAGGGTCAGGAGGGAGCTTTGTCTGGCAGAGGGGTCAGTACTCTTAGGGCTCATCTAGACTATGCGGAATGATCGAAAGAGGATATGCAAATTCTGCGGGAGCTTTCGAAAGTGAAAGTAGTTTAGATATGGCTTTTTCAGTGAACCCCCCCCCCTGTCGAAAACCTGCTCTTCCTCAAAAAATGGTCTTTCAACAGTTTGAAAGTAATCAAGACGCGTTATTTTTGGCAACCCCCCCTTTTTTCAAAAAGCTGCTTTTCCTCAAAAAATGAGGTTTACGCAGCTTTTCAAAAAAGGGGGGGTTGCCGAAAAATGCGTCTTGATTACTTTCACTTTCGAAAGTGAGATCAAAAGAAGATATGCAAATTTCTGTGGAATTTGCATATCCTCTTTCAAATCTTCCACATAGTCTAGATGAGCTCTCAGGGTGCACCTTTCCGTTCCCTGCTTGTAGAGTCTCTGCCCACCTCCCAAGCAGAAATACAGGAGTGCTTGTTGGCAGCTGCTACTGCTGCAGCAATGGGGGAGCAAGTTGGACAGGGAGCCTGGTCCTGGCAGCCCTAACCAATTGTGAGTCCTGGCACTGTTTCAAACTAACTCCAATTGATTTGTGTGTTTTAATGAAGCCTTATTTCTTCCCATGGCGGCAGAAGACGAAGGACAACATTTATGTCTGTTGTAGAATTTATGATATCTTACTGCTTTTGTATATGTGGGGTTTTTTTTTTCTTTCCAGGAAAGAACTGTTAACTAATCATATTGATGCAAATAAGAGAGAGTTCAGTATGCTCTTTTCCTCAAACTGGAAATCCCATCCTTGGCAGGGCACTTCTGTGGATGACAGCACGCCTGTACAGTCAGGCCAAAAGTGTAGCTTCAACTCTGAAGGCAACTCATTCACATTTACAAAAGTTCCCTCCAAACTTTCTGTTGCCATTGAGTATCAAGGAAATCTTACTACGAGCACCTTCTCTGCAATAAAACTTCAAACTCCAGATACCTCAGGTACAACAGATTTTTCACAGTGTGCTGATGTGGATGTGAGCATCCCAGGAAATGCTGGACTTTCTTTTTCCAAGAAGGATGTCAAAGAACGAACATCACTCAACTTTCACTGGGAGAGACCCTCTTTCAACAGTAGCTGGTGTGACCAAACAAGGGTGGAAAAGGATGGAAGCTACCTTTTTTCAGAGAGGCCTGTAACGAGTACGGCTTCAAAAGCTGAAAATAAAAGTTCAACTAATATTAATGAAGTAGGAGAATATGACACTTCAGAAGCAAGGGATCTAGACTTTGATCTTGATAACTTTGTTCTTGAAGATGATTTTGATGAGAGGTGGGAGAGTCCACTGTACGATTCAGTAGACAAAAAGACATCTACATCACTATACCAACCTATCAGGGAAGGTCAGTCTGCTACATCATCATTGAAGTCATTTTCTACAATCAAGGAAACCAGCCCTATACCTAATCCTGTTTCTAAATCAAACTTCTTGGTGTCAGCCAAGAGCTGCTCAGGTACATTATGCTTATTCTGATTCATTTACCATGGGATAATTATATGCTAAGAATGTATTGTGAAGGCTGAAATTAAGTAATTCACTATAGACTGTAAGTTTATTTGTTGGTGTGGAAATTTCTGTAGGTGTATTACTAATTGCCAAGTCACAGTTCCTGGGTAATATGCTCTTCATTCTAATCACACTTCTCACAATGTGTATTTGCTGGGCAGGTTTCTGACTTTTATCAGTTTCAGCTTTGCAAAATTCAAAATGAACGTATTTATTATAGTAACAATCCTGCAAGCACTAAAACTATGGTCGTAACTTGAATTTAACTTTGTTATACTATGCAATAGAGCATATTTCCATATATATAACTTCTTAAATAACCAAATCTCTCTGGTAGCATATAGCTCAGACTCTGTGTCCCTATGTTTTTGCAGGTGCAGTAATGGCTTTCAGCCTTCTTTCTGCCTCCTTTTGACCCTAGTCTTCAGCATGATTTAGAGAAGCTTCAAGGTTATGCTAATTTGCACAAACCTGTAATGTGCTCACTGTTTCACCTCTGGACCTCAGAAGGTTCTTGCCACATCTCCTGATGCACCATGTTTAAAGATACGGAGTGTAATGGAGCTCTGTTCGGTTGGCTCTGTGTCACCTGGAAAACCTCCCTTCTGTTGCAAAATGGCTTCCATTCTTTTATAGCTCCTTTGTGCTAGGGATGTAAAGGGTTAACCAGTTGCCCAGTAAGTATCACCTTTACTGGGTCGGCCCAGGTGGGCTGGAGCAGCTCTCCTCCTTTGGCGCAGTAGGCCCGGCTGGAGCAGCCCCGCGATGCAGCAGGCTTGGTCCAGCCTGACTCACCCAGCCAGCAGCACAGCGGGCCACTCCAGCCTGGCTGGGCCCGTGGTGCAGTGAAATGAGCAGCCTCCCCTAGGGATGTAACTGGTTACCCAGTAAGCATCACTCTTAACGGGTGATGCTGGGTAATGGTTAACTGTTACCTTAGAGCAGCCCCCTGCCAGCAGCCCACCATGGGCAGAGGGCTGCTGGCTCCCAGTCCGCACGGGGTCGTGTACTGGGAGTCTGCAACCATGTGCAGGCTCAGAAGTGGCAGATCCCTCCCCTCCCGAGTGGCCGATCGCTAAACCCAGGGTTGTGAGTTCAATCTTTGAGGGGGCCATTTTGGGATCCGGGGCAAATCTGTCAGGGATGGTACCTGTTCCTGCCGTGAGGGCAGGGGACTGGATTCGATGACCTTGCAAGGTCCTTTTCAGTTCTATGAGATAGGTATATCTCCCAGTCGCTGCTTCTGGCCCCATGCAAAGCTGCCAACTTGGACTGGGAACCAGCAGCTCCCCCATTTTCCCCAGCTGCCGCTTCTGCCCTGCGTGGGCTGGGAGCCGACAACTCAGCATGGAGTTGGAAGCAACAAGGCTGGAGCAGCCCCCCTGCCTCCTTGTTTAATCAGTTAACAGGTTAGACTGAACCTTTAACCCCTTAATTAAGTGGGATTTTACATCCCTATTCCTCCAGGTTCGGCCCAGTCTAGCCGGAGCAGCCCACAGGGCAGCAGGCCTGATCAGGCTAGAGCAGCCACTTCCCATGGGATCTTGGTTAACCAGTTAAACTTAATGTTTAACCTGTTAACTTTTTAAATGGGATTTTACATCCCTACTTTGTGCTACCAATACAGGGCTGGAGCATACTGACTGACTGTTTTTATGTGGAAGAATTTAAATTAAATAGGTTTTTGTCTGTGTTCTACAAACGTATCCAAATTATTGGACCATCTTCATTAGGAAAATAATTTTAAAACATAACCAACCTTGACAAGGCTTGTCTAAAGAGGCCTTCATTGTTACGTAATCTGTCAGATTGCATCCTTCTGTGCTGTCATACCCACTTACTAAATCCTGTTCCATTGATTTTTAAAATAATTCACCATACCTTTTAAAAATGAGCACCACACGTGAAGCAATGTGGAGAAAGGTAGGTGCCTAACAAAATAAGGTATGCATTTTATATAATGGGCCACTGATACAGAGCTTTTCCTCTGTTGAAATCCAGACACCATACACAGGTGGATGCAAGTGCTGCAGAGTTCAAAATCTGCTCTCTTGTCCACCTTGAGCTCCGTCTGTTTGCATTTTGCTTTAGATCATAATTTTGCGGTGATGAACAGTTAAGTGGGGATTTAGCTATCTGTATTATATTTAAAGTGAAATGATTTTCATTTTGTATTGTGACATATGTCCAGTGGAGCTTGAAGTCAGTTTTGAGATGAGCTGAGCTTCTGGGTCACTGAGTTACACAGTACTTGTTTGACAGGAGAATCTTGATTTGTATATTAGCCACTTCTGACATGATCTGTATCGTTTTATAAATGCAATCAAGAGCATAATGAGAAGTTGCTAAATTGTACATGATTTAGAATGTTCCCTAACTCGTACAGACACTTTTACCCATTTAAGTAAGTAAAATTTTGTATCATGGGTCTTAATTTGAGTTGCTTTAGCAGGTGCAGAAAAAATTAAAGGCATCTTCCTTCCCTCTCCCCACTTGGGGTTACAGGTTTTTTTCATAACTATCACACATCAAAATTGCTTTCTGTGCAGTTATGTCTAAAAGTAAACTCTAACCTTGCTGCTTTGCTCTGAGAATCAGGTAGATCCGCTATAAGGTTTGGTTCTGTGTGCAGTTTAATAGTAAGATTATCAGTCAACTAGTCAGATACAGAGAAACAAACTGCAAATTTTTAATAGGCTTTTCTTTTCTAGTAGACCCACTGCTGAAAAAATCACCATCCAAACATCCAGCACTAGCACGCTTCAGAGGCTTTGCATTTCCCCATTCTGAAGAGATGATGAAGATATTTCACAAAAAATTTGGCCTGCACCATTTTCGGACAAATCAGCTGGAAGCCATAAATGCTGTTCTGCTGGGTGAAGATTGTTTTATCTTAATGCCCACTGGTACGTATACGTGTACATCAGACAACTGGAAACTGTTGGTGTATGAAATCTTGCGCAAACTTCTGATAAATAGATTAGGATCTATACAGATTAACACAGACCCAGTTCTCGTAGGAAAATTTAACAGAATTTGTGGTAAATTTAATAAATTCCCTACATTTGGGGAAGTGGTAATACATTACCAAGCTGTCAAGATCTGCTGGCTGCAGGATTCCTTATATCTCACTTGCCCTGGAATGTATGTAGCCTTTGTCTGTGGTCTTTAAAGGGAAGGTGGCAAAAGCTCTGATTTCTGGAATATTCCACATGGTAACTCTGCTAATGAGATTGGAGGTCATAGAATATTTGACAGTAGTTGCATTTGAAGACTTCAAAACAATTGAGATATGTGGATGTAATTTTTAAGTTACCTAGTGATATAGTTTAAAAATTCCTATCCCCACTGGAAATAGGTTTTAAGAGGACAAAGACTCATTGAAATGAGATTTGAAAGCTGAACTCTAGAACATGGCTTTTTAATAAGAGTACTTCAGAGGATACTGTCTGGTTACAATTATATTTAATAAAACAAAAATCCTCATATACATTACACATTTATTTTATTAAATCTGAGTGGTTTAATTTTCGCTAGTCAGGCTTTGTTTACATTTGCATTTTTCTAAACTTGGGTAGTGAAAATGGTTTCATTCTCTGGTTCCTGTATGCTAATGTAATATAGCAATCATTGCAAGGAATAGTTTTTAAAGGTTTTTAATTTAAACTCTGCTGTGAACCTTCCACTTTATAGAAATGTAATTTTACTATCTACATTTTCAGATGAAATTAACAAATTTGATTCCTCCGTTCCTACCCTAAAAAACCATTGTCTTGCATTTTATATAGGTGGTGGTAAAAGTCTATGCTACCAGCTACCAGCCTGTGTATCTTCTGGCGTCACTATTGTAATTTCTCCATTGAGGTCATTGATATTAGATCAAGTTGAGAAGCTAATGACTTTGGATGTAAGTTTGAACAATTTCTTTGCACTGAATTTGATTCCTCCGTTCCTACCCTAAAAAACCATTGTCTTGCATTTTATATAGGTGGTGGTAAAAGTCTATGCTACCAGCTACCAGCCTGTGTATCTTCTGGCGTCACTATTGTAATTTCTCCATTGAGGTCATTGATATTAGATCAAGTTGAGAAGCTAATGACTTTGGATGTAAGTTTGAACAATTTCTTTGCACTGAAGGACTAGGATAAAAATCTTCTATTTGATTTTTGTGTATGAAATAGTTGTATATTTGAAGACAGAACAAGTAAGCATACAGTGTACAAATACCTAGTGCAGGGAAAACAGGAGTAACATCAGAGTACTGTAAATCAGAGTAATTAGAAGTAAACAGCAGTTTTATCATTGACTCTGTGAATGCGCACAAGCAACATTTGCTAGTCAAACATAATGCTTAAATATAGGCTCCAGAGCCCATTTTTAGACCCACACACAAAAAAAGCAACCTGTTACTTTCCAGAAAGCTAAACACCCTTAAGGCCTGTTTATTTCAGCGACAGCTGTGGCTGCTCAGCATTGCTGAAAAAATGGGGCATGCAGAAGGAAGACACTCACAGAAAGCATAATTGTGGCAGTAGATTGCACACTGAAGGGTGCAAGCAGTGATGACTTCAGGGAAGACTAGATTTACTCTCCTTTCCTGTGACTACAGTTATTTTAGCCAAGAGGTGTAAGAGGCACATCTCTTCTCCCCACTGTGTAGCTTAGATATACAAAGTACTGTATATCATATAAATTCTGCTAAGAAGTGGAAGATAGAAGCAAACTTTATTTTCTCTGTAACTGTGTGATTTATACTACATAAGAGCCTAATTGCAACTGTAAGGCTCAAGGGTAGTTAAAGAGGATTTAACTAGGAATTGCCTGGCAGCTTTTTTACCAATTATGCTGGTGGATGTTTTGAGCAATTTAATTATTTGGAAAAGTGAATGGTTTTTGTTTTGGGGAATTGATAAATTTTAAGGGCAAAATTTTGAGTGCAGCTGAGGTGGTGGTGAGGTACAAACAGGCGCATGCTGCTACTTTACAATCCTAAGCCCTTAAGATGCTCTGTTCCTCTGGCTGATCTCCAAGGCTATGTCTACACAGCAGCATTATTTCGGAATAACTGTCAATATTCTGAAATAACATAGTGTGTGTCTACACTGCCAGCATTTATTTCAAAACAGTGTCAAGCTGAAGGACTTCTTACTCCGACTCCTGTAACCCTCATTTCACGAGGAGTAAGGGAAGTTGAGGGAAGAGTGCTTTTCCTTCAACTTCCTGCTGTGTAGACAGAGCCAAATGCCGAATTAAGCTTTTTCGACTTAAGCTACGCAATTGACGTAGCTCAAGCTGCATAGCTGATTCCAACTTTTGCCCTGCTGTGTAGGAGTGCCCCAAGTGACCACCTGTCATCCAGGAAATGCTGCAGCACAGTGTGCTTTGACCATGCACTCTCACCACCCCCTCCTTGCTTCCAGCAAACATACCTATGCTGAGTGCTGCAAGGGTGGTGATGAAAGAACCAGCTACAATTGTTCTGGGACTGCTGTGGATGCTCCTATACTGGGGAAATTCCCAGCTGTCTTTCTACCACCTGAGAAGAGCTGAGGGCTAAGACTTGCCTCATGTGTAGGGATGTAAGCAACTAGTAGACTACCTGATAAACCCAGGCTTATCAGGTAGTTGGGTCACTACTGACTAGTTGCTTCTCCTCCCTCTCCTCTGCCCTGCTGCCTCTGTATCAGAGGCAGCAAGCAGGGGGAGCAGGAGCTGGTACAGGAGGCGGGAGGGGGAGCCAGCTTAAAAGCCTGTTCCACCCAGCACCTTCTTTGCGTGGGGGCAGTGGAGGCAGAGGTGCGGCAGGGGAAATGGCGAGAGTAGAAACTGAAGCAGTCCCTGCAGGGCTCTTATTACATTTCAAAGGCAAAGGCACAGCAGTCGGGACCTGGCGTCGTGAGCGGGGACTGCTTGAGTTAATGATTGGGATATGAACTATTTCCTTGTAATATGGGTCATCTGGTGCCACATTATTGTATGTTTGTGGGTGCTATGAAGATATTTATTTTATAATACTTTGTGTCTTCTAAGAACATCTATAATGTTTTTCACATAGGATCTCAAATCATTTTACCAATATTACATAAGCCTCATGATATGCCTGTGAAGTAAGCAAGTATCATTACAGCTATTTTATTGATGGGAATACTGGAGCACAGAGAGGGTAGGTGATTCCCAAAGTCACACAGTGCTTTGTTGATACAGTTTGGAGCAGAATAAAGGAATTCTGATTCCTAGTGCTTTGCCTGATTGCTAGAGAGCCCTCTAATGCCTGCACATAGCAAGGTTTTTGTGTTTTGCATGGATTTACCATTTTCGGTATTTTTTTTCAAATTCTGTATTCAGTGGCTAATGTATAAATACGGACCGTGTGTGTTTTGTTTAGAAGTAGGTTAAACATTTCTTACATTAAATGGATGTTAGATGAAATCTACATGTCTGTTTTCTTCTATATTTAACACAGATTTCTGCTACTTATCTGACTGGTGATAGGACTGATACTGAGGCTTCAAAAATCTACATTCAGCTGTCAAAAAAAGATCCCCAAATAAAACTTCTTTATGTTACTCCAGAGAAGGTTTGTATTTATCTTAAAAGCAAAAACTGTCACCACGGCAACAAAACAAAGATTTTTACTAGTACAAATGTTTTGTAAGAATGATTTTAAATTTAAAAAAAATGCAGCAAGCATCTTTCAGGAAACAACAACAGAATTCTTAAGGGGTAAGCTATCAATATCTTCAGATGAATCTTTGCAATGCTGCCTGTGTGTATATAATGAACCAAAGAACAGTCCAAACAAGGCACAGCCAAGAAAGGGGGGAAATTTGAAATGAAAGACTGCTATGTTGTTAATAATTTCTATCATGTATACCAGTCTGTCTTCATCAGCTAATTGGTATGGAATAACCTCTTGTAAGTGTTAACAGACCTAAGAGCTGCACTATTTTATATTCAGCCTTAATTATTGTGGAAATTTTGAGAGCGGATACAGGGCAAAACAATAATTGTTTTTCACTCAATCTGAGTAATTGCTTGCAGATCAATATCAAATGAACTATTCTGCTGCATGAATTTCCTACTGTAGAAATCCTCAATATGATATGTGAAAGCCTTTTTTGGGGATTGGTGTAGTGGTGGTGAACTCATGCTAATATGTCTGTCCTTCCCTATTTTTTGCATCCGATTTGGTCAATAATAGGCTCTTTAAATGGCCAGTCTCAGAAACCAGTGGGATTGTCTAATGCTATTTGTCAAAAAGGAATTTTGGCTGCATTTAAAAAAATGGGGTTTAGTTTCACATCAGTTTCTTAATTGTTCATGAAAATGTGTCTAGAATGAAGACCATTAAGGAGCGATTTAAAGGTTCTGCATGGAGTTAAAAAGCCTCTCTTCACAATCCTTAGTTTTATAATCTCTTAGTGAAATAGAGTGTGATTATGCTGTAATATTTTCTGTTAAAAACCTAGGTTTGTTCAAGTGGCAGATTGATTTCAGCCTTGCAAAATCTGTATGACAGAGGACAGTTGGCACGTTTTGTAATTGATGAAGCACACTGTGTCAGTCAGGTAGCTATTTATTGATTTATATTTTTAAATACCCACAATTTCAGAATAGTTGGAACACTTTATTCAGTAGAGAGTGAAAAGGGGAATTTTCTTTTTTTTAAACTAGTGGGGCCATGATTTCCGTCAAGACTATAAACGGCTGAACATGCTTCGCCAGAGATTTCGCTCTGTTCCTATGATGGCTCTTACTGCTACTGCTAATCCCAGAGTACAAAAGGATATTCTAAATCAACTTGAGATGCTAAAACCACAAGTGTAAGTTGTTTGGAAGTATCATGAAAGATTTGTGTAAGTTGAACTTATTATCTAGGCAGAAGAAATTTCAAATTCAATGTAAGAAATGGACTTGAATTAAATCCTACTCAGTCACCTGAAAAATATTGATATTTGTATCTAATTTAATGTGACTGTATACATGGCATTTAAATCCATTAAATTCAAAATATGTTAAAAATAAAGAGCAGACTTCAGAAATGTTTCCCCACTTAGGGGAGAGCGAGAGCAACTGTTCACACAGTAAAGTTTCACGAAGGTTCCTGTATCATTGAAAGAATGAGAAATGAAAACCTTGCCATGTTAGTAAAGCCTATGATCTGTGGCATTTAATAGGAAGATTTTAAAGCTTGAATATGGCAAGGATTTTTTAATGTTACAAAAATTACAACTAAGATAGTCATCTGTGAAGTAAGGTGCTACTTGGGGTGAAAAAATCTCGCTCATGGTTCTTTAGCATCAGACCTGGCAAAGTTCTATTGCTAGTGGACACTGTGATGGTTTTTAAACTCCAAAACCTACCAAATGCATTCAAAAAAGCATAAATGTACCATTTACTTAATAGATGTACCATTTACTTAATAAAAAACTATTATACACTGTATTAACAGTGTATATTAGGGATGTAAAATCCTGTTTAATTAGTTAACTGGTTAAATGTTAAGTTTAACAGGTTAACTGAAGAAATGGAGGCGGGCGACGGGGGGCCGTTCCAGCCCCCTGGAGCAGGCCATCCCCCTCCCCCAACATGGGGCTACTGTCTTCCATTAAGGATGATGCTTACTAGGTAACTGGTTAACTGATTACCAGTTCACATCCCTAGTGTACATCAGGCAGGCTTCACAAATAGATAATACAGGCAGATTTGCTATCTTAAAAATCAAATTATTCAATGTGGACATTTGGGCTTTTTTATGGTTGACATGAACCTAACAATTTTGTGACTCTGTAAAACTACTGTCTTCCATTAAGGATGATGCTTACTAGGTAACTGGTTAACTGATTACCAGTTCACATCCCTAGTGTACATCAGGCAGGCTTCACAAATAGATAATACAGGCAGATTTGCTATCTTAAAAATCAAATTATTCAATGTGGACATTTGGGCTTTTTTATGGTTGACATGAACCTAACAATTTTGTGACTCTGTAAAAGAAATGTCATCTGTACTTCAGTGCCCTGAAGAATGCATATTAGAAGCATGTCATGATCTAAAACAGAAAAATTAAGGTAGACAAATTTCACTTTTAATCATGGTGGGCATGTGTCCTGTCTCTGCGAGCGCATCTGTCCTGCTGGTTTATGTATGGCAGAGAATAAGCCTGCCTTCTGCTTTCCCAGCTATAGAATAAACACAGCAACGCTAGCATTTATCAAAGTGATCCCAGAGCAAAAGTGAGGAAAATCCATCCCAACTGGGACAGGTAGAATGAATAAACCTCCCTATTCAGAGGCTATAGGGAGGAAGTAGTCACTCTGGAGTCCTTCCAGAGACAATTCCTGTCCTGTGGAGAAGGTTATTGCATAGTGTAAAACTGTGCAACACCATGGTCAGTCATCAGTATCTTAGATTCAAAATTGTTCTATGAGCCAATCTAATCTCATTTGCTTTGAGACTCTGCAGACTTGTAACATTTCTTCTCTCTTAAAAATGTACTGTGCATGCGAAACTAACGTGCTTTGGACATTGTTTTAGGTTTACTATGAGCTTTAACAGGCATAACTTGAAATATGATGTATTGCCCAAAAAGCCAAAAAGTGTCGCATTGGACTGCTTGGAATGGATCAAAAAATATCATGCATGTAAGTGCTAAATGTGCTCAGAAACATTTGTATGAGTTACAGTTCTTGCATATGGCAGTAATATCTACATAATATTCACTTTATTCTCCTGTGCTTTTTGAGAATACTGGTAAATGTAGAAGAGCAAAGTGTTGGAGGCAAAGTAATTTAGTAATTTCTTTGATGCCAAGATTTAAGATTAATCAGAGGGACAACTTAAAGTGGGAGTTCCTGATGGGAATGAATAGGAAAAAAGAACGGCAGGGACTTGTAAGTTTAAAATATCTAAATCAGGAATTAACGGATATCTGGTAATAAGAAGATTAACTTTGCCATGCAAACATTTAATTATTAGCAACCTCTTAAAATAGTTAACCCAGCTTTCATAAAATCTAAGAAGGTTATTGAGTCTTGTAAAACAGAAGAACTTGTATTCCGGCACAAACTTTTTCTTTATATTCACAGATGACTCTGGAATAATTTACTGCCTCTCACGGCAGGACTGTAACAAAACAGCTGAAATTCTACAGGAAAAAGGTCTTGCTGCACTTGCCTATCATGCTGGCCTCAGTGACTCTGTTAGAGATCTTGTACAACGAAAATGGATTAATCAGGATGGGTGTCAGGTAAAGGAAAAACAAATGAGAAGGTTAATA